CTAATTCCTCCTTTTCCATTAGCCCCATTTTATGTTTGATTGTGTCCATTTTAATTTTAATGTCCTTTTTTGTGGGAGTTTCTGCAACTCTTTTTCAAGTCTCTTGTAGTCATCCTCCAATATTTTAAAGGTGTTTTTCTGTTTTCTGTTTCTTTTTTTTGTATAGTCTATTATCAAGCCTCTGATGTAGGACTTCATCGTGTCCCAAAGATTCTGTAATGATGTATCCTCTTTTTTATTTTCTTTGAAAAAGAAAGCCAATTTTTTCTCCATTTTCTGTTTAGAGTCCTTTTCCTTTAATATCATATTGTTTAAAGTCCATCTAGATCTCCATTTCTGTCCTTTCCATGTAACTGTCATTGGGTTGTGGTCTGCCCAAGTACTTGTTTCTATGTCAATTTCCTGTATATTAGAAATCAGTTCTGTTGACATCCATATCATATCTATTCTGGACCATGATGCATGTCTGAGTAAAAAGTGTATTGTTTGTTTTTAACATTTCTCTCTCTCCATGCATCTTTTAAATTTATTTCCTCTGTCATTCGGAAAAAGGATTTTGGAAGAGTCTTTCTACTTTCCTTTGTTGTTTTCTGCATTTTATAGTCCAATTTCTCATTAATTATTCCATTGAAATCTCTCATCATACAAATGTTAGCATAGTCCAATTCAATTATTTCCATATGTAATTTTCTATAAAATTCTTCTTGATTATCATTTGGAGCATAGATTGCTATTAAGAGTATTTTTACATTATTGTCCATTATCTCCACCATCAAAATTCTTCCATCATCATCTGTATAAATCTGTTCCACAGGAATTGTATCTTTAATATATAGAACCACTCCTCTTTTTTTACATCGTGTCAATGCTGAAAATATTTTCCCTAAATTTGGCCATTTCAATATTTGTTCATGTTGTTTTTTAATATGTACTTCCTGTAGGCAGATTATATCAAATTTTAGTTTCTCTTAATTTATGGAATATTTTTCTTCTTTTAATAGCTGAATTAAGTCCATTATGTTAATTGTAATCAATTTTCTCTTTTCCATTTTTACACTTTATAAGAGGGATTTGTTGCTCTAGTAGATCTCGGTTCTCCTTGCTCTCTGGGTTCACCGCCTACAGCACCTTCTTCTTTTTCAGTTGTTGTTAGACATTCCTCTTGGAATTCAATTAATGACTCTTCTTTTCTTGTTTCCTCCTCCTTTCCTCTAAAATATTCTAAATAAAATAGCTCAGCTTTTTCAATTGAATCAATTCTATGTCTTTGTTCCTGCCAGGTGAACATGAGACCTTCTGATATCAGCCATCTGTAATTGACTCCTTTCTTATGTAATGCTTTAGTCAGAAACTGATATTCTCTTCTCATCTCCCTCACTCTTCTCGGTACTTGTTTCAGAATCACAATTTCCTTGTCTTTATACTTTAATGTTTTCTCTCTGCAGTATCTGTGTTTTAATAGTTTTCTTAGTGAAT